CTTCGTGTATTATATAACTCTTTATAATATATAAAATATAATAACAAAACAAAATATATGAGCAAATGTGAACTTCACATATTGTAAAACACTAGATTATAGGTACATACTGCACAAGAACATTGAAACTATATAGACTTGTACAAACACACAGTATAAAGAAACAACACTCTTGGTAGGTACTACTTACATAAGGAATTACATAAATATGATCTTTTTATTTATCACATATGCAAACAATCATATATTCCAATATTTTTTATATTCTTAACTTTAACTGATGTATTTGTTGCAAAAAATATATTCAGCAAAGGTTTAATTTTTTGATTTGACATGAAAATTATGGCCACATAACAAATGAGGAAAGTTCTGTAAACTATACCTATAGTTTTTTGGCTGAGAAAATTGAATGTAGTAAATTTCTAACAGTCGTATATTGTTTTATTTTTAATGATTTTATTAGATGAGCATCTAAAGGTTTTGGTAATCCCGCATCACATTGCGTCTTGCGTTCATAAGGTTTGTTTTTGACTATTTTATGTACAGTTGAGAAAGGAATTTCGGTCAAATCTGATGTTCCTTGTAATAGTTTTTTCCCTCGAAACCAAACATGATATGTAGATTCTTACATACATTGAAACATACTCTTTGTGTTTCAATATTCAAATGTATCCGAATCTTATTCACTGGTATCTCCTTTTCGCATTGTTCACCAGCGCTATTGGAATCACTACACAGGAAAAAGTCTGCGTTGTTATCACACTCGTAATTACTATTGGTACTTGTCCAAGAACGCCACATTTTATATAGATAACAAAAATTTTAAGCAATTATAACTTCACCAATATCGAATTTCAACACTCATATTGCGATCAGTTCCTGAACTGAACATTAACAATACGAAGGCTCGCATTCTATTAGTCACCGTAACATGACTTCAAATTTACTTTCATGACTCTTCAGCCAATCATAAAAGTTGGTTAGTAAAAATTATCTAATACGAACCGCCTATTTTTCAGCCCGCTGGACTAATTCGTAACGGCATTATTTCTTTTTATTGGTTTTTTTGGCCTTTGAGTTCGCCGATAGCTTTAAGAATTACTATATCAGTTACTTCGACTATACTTATTTCTTAATAATTTCAGAAATATTAAATATTTCTGAACAAAAATAGGTTGAGTTAATATTAAAACGGTTTTTGAAAATGACTCATTCATTATACCTATATATGTTAAATTCAGTTTTTGAGTAAATTATACCCATTTTGTATTTTGGAATGTTTTTTTCATTAAAAAAAAACAATAGTCTACATTTCAACTTCTCTCACAGAAGGAGATACTATGAAAACAGATTCACAATTATCTTTTTCAAGTTACATAGAATAAAAGACAGTAATAGTATTTCAATTCCATTTGAAAATTCAAGTATTAATACTCCCAATTCCAATTTTTTTATGGAAAGTAGTAAGAAAAGGAAACCGTATTGTTCCTAATACCTACAATTACCAACTTGATGGAAAAATTAGTAACTTTGCTGCTATTTTTCAACTAACCCCATGCGATAAATTCTCTAAATTGCAACGAAGCAAGAGAATTAATTTACAGAGGAAGTAAGCGCTGTGGCAGAGAACACTTTTAATAGAAATAACAG